TACACCCATGATACAAATATTTAAAGGTAAAACCGCACAATTCGTCGGCCATCATTTACTTTTTGTAGTTTGTCTATTTTATAAAATTGAAATTTTGAGAGCAACTCAAATGCCAATTAAAGGTAAAACAAAAAAAACATAGATGAAAATATTGAAATTTTCATTTACTTGAGACTGATAATGAGAATGTATTTGTGAGATTGGAAATTTGAAAACATTTTTGTAATGTTAGCAAACTTTAAAAGTGTTCAGGCTGCCTTTCAACGGTTTTACCTTCAGATTTTTGTACCATGAATACACCTTGGTCAAGATATCACGAACAAGTTTTCCTTTATTTATTTTTACTTAAAATCCTTAAATATGTATCTTGATTTTTTTCTGTAGAATACGTAATAATTTTTTTTAACGATTTAAAAAAGGGAACAGTCGGATCTACGTAACCAGAACGACCTGAATGCGCATTGAAGTCTGTTGTATTTTTTGCTTAAAATTATCTGTTGTTATTGAGATACAGTTTCGCTACTATTTAGAGATTTCTCGACATACTTTTTCATATTACTGTTATTTATTATTTTTCTTATTAGTCATTTATATGTTTAGGACTTACTGTGGGTGCTTTAAGATTCATTTTGTAAATATGTATGTACATATAAAAAACAATTGCGATATTTTATTTTAAATTATGAGTTTTATTCGTGTAATTTTTTATGTTTAATAGTTTTGAGAACATCTTTTGGTTCTGTCGATTCTTTTATTGCATGCCTTAAACTTTTTTACTTTAAGTTATAATGTTGAAGATATGCCTTCTATGTGTATTCAAAGCAAGCGCTGCGTTCGTAGCTACTCGAACTTAATAGCATTTTCGTAGATTTCACGAAAAATCGGACTACGATGGATTCTATGATAGCATTGATTAGTTCGTGCGATTATGACTTATGGATCGATTATGGATGGGAACGGAACCTCAGTTGGGTTGCCGATGGACAGCGCCACTGAAATGAAAATGTTTTTTATTATGAATAGCAATAATTAAGTTTCACAAAGTTCAAGGTGGTACAATTTAAGAAAAAGTTGAAAAAATAAATAAAGTATCTCAATCAAAAATTCCCGGCAGCCACAAAAACGCAC